TTCATTAAATTTATGTGAAGATGTTTTTTTTTTGTGTGTGTCTTATGTTTGAAAATTCTCTTTGTTTTATATTTTGTGATAGGGCACTGAATTTAGATGTCGATGTGTCTCTTCTTACTTTAAGGGTGTGATGAACTGAACTCTTGTTGTGTTGTTTGATAAACACAAGGAGGCTCTTCAACAGAGCCCTTTTTATTTTTTTGTTAATATGCCTAATATAGCCATTTCACATACTAGAATTGAGGTTATAATAAGCACATACAAGGCAGATTTTGATCCGGTCGAGTTTTGTGTCACAATTGGGCTACGACAAGGTGGTCTAAGTGTAGACTTAGATTTTAGTTTGGTGTCTAAGGCCTTATTCGACGGTTGGGGTCGGGTAGATAAGAAGCTTTTGAAAAGAAAGCATGTGGTAGAATTGTTAGAAAAGTTTGTTGTCGATGAGGATCGCGTAGACGACTTCATCAGGGTGTTTAATCTTTTTTGTGTTCAGTTGTATATTGTTTCAGTGTTCGAGTTATTTCGTCCCTATGTTTGTTTATCCTTACTTGGAGGATGTGAGTCGAATTTCTAGGTAAGCATGGGGAGATTCTACTCATAAATTTCATTTGCCGAGCTTTTTTGACATACTGAATTGCGATCGTGCTTTGATGGAAGTGTTGTTGGACTGATGGTATGTATATATGTGTGTCAATATCTTAATACAATAATATTACATTGTGAGATTGTGTAAGTTTAAAATCATATTACATTGTGAGATTGTGTAATTTTAAAATCATGTGTATGTGTAGGCTTAGTTGTACGAGCGTGTGCCTTCTCAGAGCAAACGGTCCACGCTCGAGGCGATTCTCTGTTTATTTCGATGGACGGGGAGCAATTTGCCGACCCTTCTACACTGGAAGGGTGTTTAAAATCTCTTTAGAAAATAATGGGCATAAGGTAATTTATAGAGTTTTATAGTATTATGTTTTTCCTTCTTCTTCTTTTTTATTTTTTTTGGTTAATCAATATTGTTCTTAAATTATAATGATTTGCTTTGCAGTGTATTCGGTATTGCCTGTGTATGCGGAGTGTGCCTTTGTGGAGACCCAGGGTTTCTTTAATTTTGTTCGAGAATATATGTTTCAACATTAATATATTTTCATAGGTGCATGTATATATATTTTATGTTCCCTTTAATTTTTGTTTTTCTTTCATGTACAGGGAACATTCGAGACCCTTTTACTTGCCATGGTTTGTCAGGAGAATGATGAACTTAGACAAAATTGAACTGTTGTAGACCAAGTGAAACAAAAGAAGGAAGAAGAAAAAGAAAAGGAAAAAGAAAAGGAGAAAGATGAGGAGGAAGAAAAAGAAAATGAGGGTGCTAATGACGGATTTGGCTCGATTGAGGATGAGGAAGAAGAGAAGGAGAAAGATGAGGAAGATGAAAAAGAAAATGAGGAAAAAGAGGAGGAGGAGAAGAAAAAAGAGGATGATGAAAAAAAAAAAAGAGGAAAGATGGATTTCGGCAGTGTATGAGAATCAGGCTGATGATGAAGAAATGAGTTTGTTGAGTTGAACCGATTGATCGACCAGTGGTGGAGTCTGCCAGTTTGACGGGAGGGCTGAATGAGATGAACTCTGAGCACGGTGCTCAGAGCTCGCACCGACCATCAGAGGAGAAGCAATAGTCCTCCTCATAGAGATCCTGTGTGGTCGTCAACCTCATGTTCGCTTTCTGCGACTTATGTTCAGGTACATTATTTTAATATTCACTATTAATTTTACTAATTGTTAATTTGCTAAAAAAAATTATTTAATTTGTAGAGTGATGTGATAAGTGATGTTCAAAAAATGAAGAAAAAAACCGCTTAGAAAATTGAAGATTATGATTAGTGTACTTCTATACTGACGAGAAGTACTGTTGTCGTGCTCGATGAGCTGAGCGGATCCTTGTTTGGGGTCAAGTATGTGTTTTTCCTGTGCTACTCAAATTTCACTTCTTCTTGCTCGTATTGAACATGGAAGAAAAGAAATTTGTGTATCATAACTCGTTGGATGATCCGATCTACCGAGGAGCTGGGAAAAGTTTAGTAAGTGTTATTGACATATTAAACTTTGTTTTGTAGTTATTATTTATTTTCTTTCAAATAAACTAGTAATGTGTTTTGTTGGTTTTTTTT